AGCCCTCCTCTCCAAAATGTTCCTTTAAAAACATTTTTTTTTTTAATTTCGATGCCAAGCAACGGAGGAGGGCCCCAAACCAAAAGCGAGGCACTTAAACGCAGCACTTGTTCAGTCTTTGTTAGCGCCTAAAACTCCCTTTTTATGAACATAATGTCGACGGAACAAACAAGACAAACTTGGAAAGTTTTGAAACTAGATGGAAAAAAAAGCACTTAAGTGATTAGGTCACCATTTTAGTTAGTTGTTTTTTTTTGTCCATTAATTTACATCATTATTTGGATTATAGTGTGCTTTTTTTCATTGTCACTAGTTGATGGGAAACTTTGTAAAGCCCAAAAAATGTTTACAGATTTTTTTTTTTTTAAACTGATACTGATGTATTTTCCCCCGACACTTTTTAATTCTATTTTTGCAATCTTTTTGTTGTTTTTGTTGATTAGCATATGCCACAAAACTTGCTAACAAGTATTTGTCATATGGTTTGTTTACAACTTCTTGATACACGACCTATGCGATTTTTCTATCGGATGCTGGCCTTTAAAAGTCACTTCCGTGAAATAAAAATAGCTTAAAAAAATCATGTGCTTCTTCCGTGCAATCAAACAAAATGATCAGCCATTGTTTTGTTCTCGAGAGATCTATCTATCAACAAATGTCAGGATTTCGCCAAAAAACGAGGAAAAATTCAACATCTGTTTTAATTTTGATGCTTACCATTTAACTGTATACTGGATCGTATTTGCCTTTTTTTTTTGTTCGTTTGTTTCTTCTCATGCGCTTGCAAGCTTGATTAACAACTCGAAAGATCGTGGGCTGAAACTGGACCACGGTGCTACGTTAGCCGCTAACCCACTAAAACAGTGCAGCTAAGCGAAGCAAAATTTTTGCTTTTTTGTTTGTTTGTTTGTCTGTTAACAGCAAAAAATTCATCTGAAACAAATTCAGATTAATTTTAGATATGGAACTGGATCATGATCTACAGTACATTCTGAATTTGGGCAGGATCACAACAGGCGTCAAAACAAACGGATCCGTTTTCTAATATTCAAATCGGTTTTGATCAAAATGATGACGAAATCCAGTGCGTCATTTTTGATTTGAATCCCAGATTCAAAATCATTTTCGAACACCTTAAGTCAAAAATGACAAAATTGAACATATTGCAGTGACATGTCACAATGGTGAAGGAATCGATCTGGATTTCAAAATTCAGACTTCCGCTTCTGTCATTTGGTAGCTTCTTTCAAACTGTATTCAATGATCGGCGTATACAACAGAAACCCAATTTTATGATCACAACGCTTGTCTTCATGGCAACCGCGTTGACAGAGAGTACGGGGGCGGGGCTTGTGGCCAATCCCCATTTATTTGTAAACTCATGTTAGCGATGTTGGCTAACATCATTTTCGGAATACCGAATGTGCCTTGATTGAACTTCCAGAGCAGACGTCTCCGGAAAGCGGTGGAAATGTTTCCAGGTTGAGTTTTTATTTTTCCGAAAGACGGTGTGACTTTTTTCTACGACATTTTCCGTGTTGTTTAACGCCAATACTGTGTTTGCTGTCTTTTTTTTTTTTTTTTTTAATTCACATCCCATTTTTGTGCTACCCCTTCTTGACAAGGGCCTGTACATAATTCTCATGTCCGTGTTGTGGTTCAAATTTTCTTTACCCCTGGAATTGTTGGGAAAATCACAGAAAGCCTCACACAACGACAAAGAGCCAATTAGATCGTCCCTCTTAATGCTTAGCAAGAAAGGATGACAACGCCGTAATGAGTTTTTTCATGATTTTTAGAAATATTTTGGCAGCTCATCAACATGCAACCCGGACGATCTCATTGGCCAACTCTGCAATCACAAACTCAAGATTTCAACACACATGTGGTGTAAATACGCTAACAATATGAATTCTTTTATAACAATTGCTTATGTCGCATGTGCATGCTTACGCGTTGAAATTAGTTCAAAGACGTTGTGATGTGTCGTCCATGTTTCAGATTCGAGAGCAAAAACTGTCACACAATCGTCTTAGTAAAATGTTTGCCATAAAAAGTCTTATCATTTACGGCCAAATCCCTATTTCATACAGCTGCTAATGTGTGAAAAGAAGAAAGCATTTTTTTCCCCCATGATTATGAAAATCGAGTCATAAAGGCATTTTCCCGAACTGTCCCTTTTCATCTTTCAAAACAAACAATATGTTTGCATCTGTTAACTTAACAGCTCTGTAATGTTATTTTGTTCATTTGTCGGAAGGCATAAAGACACACAATTAGACATGGCGCCAAATGTTCATTTTCTCTTCAGAAAATATTATGCTTGGTCATCTTATCTTGGCATCGACGAATATTCTTCATTTGTTGATTAGTAGGGCATAAACATCAACGTTTACCAAAATTTGACCAAAAATCTATTTCCACATTTCAAAACCAACATTTGCTAATGTGATCCTAGCATGACTGAGATAATAACTTTATTTTGTTCTTTTTCGGTAAAACATCAACTCCAGAAATCTCTTTCCTGTTTCCATTCCTGTCTTTTTCCTTTCTTTAAAATAAACATTCCAGAACTTTAGCATAGCATAGTATAGCATAGACAGAGTCACTACCTTTTTATTTGACGGACATAAAATCTCACTGTGATGTTTTGACTGTTTTCCCCCGTTTTTATTTTTTAGCATTTGGACCACAAGAGCATGACCACTATTGTGATTTCAAATTTATATACTACAACAAACAATACTGTCCACAAAATTTTATGAGTGTTCAACATCAAAGCTAAGCTAACAAAGTTAATGCAAGGGAGTCATTTTATTTGTTGTTATAAACTGCTCCGCGAAAGCACTTGCAATATAAACAAAAATGTATATGTCAAAGTATATATGCTGTATCTAAAAAAGTACTCTATTACACCCAGGTTTGTTTTTTATACATCATAATCCAATTAAATATAAAGATGAATCCATACACACTGACTGTTAATACCTGTTATGCTTTAATTTTTTTTTCTTTATATATATATATATATATAATGTACACACACACACACACACACAAATGATATTCTCTCTGTACAAATGTGTTTACTGACCCTTGTGTTGGTTCTGGTGCTGTTGTTGTTGCTGTTTGTACAATTTTTGGAGTTTTTTATTTTTATTTTTTAATCCATGTGGCGTCACAACTGTGGGGATTTTAACAAAATTAAACAAGTTGGGTTCCTTTGCTGGCAGCTGATTGTTAAAAGTGGTGTCACCAGTGTGTTTTTTTCTTGATACACAAAACGCCTTGAATCCAGGAAATAGCCCATACTTGTTTCCCTCCTATGGTCAATATCACTCACATCAAGAAACAAACCAGACCACGGTTCATCTGCCATATTGTCAATGTCACAGGCACAGTTGTTTATTGTCAACATCCAGGAATCAGACCGCACCTCTTTGTCTTTTGTATTGCCGCAGGTAGGAAATAGACCAGGCCGCATTCCTTCATTTGTTGTTGATCAAGATCGCTGTCTCCAGGAAATAGACAGAGATCAAATTATGTCATTGTCAATCCAGGAAATAGACGACACCACGGTTGGGTTGCACTGAAAGGAGCGGAAGATGATGAACTTGTTTTTGGTGGCTGTGCAACTCCACGTCGTGGGGCCTGGTAAGTGCACAACCAACCGGCAAATCTCCTTAATCACCTTCCTTTTTCACAATTTGTACTGTTTAGGAAAAGTTGCTTCACCCAGCACTCGGAAATACATCAAGATTAGAATTAGCATTGCAACAATTTTGCTGGAAAATGTCCGAAACAGAGTTTACCAATTTAAATTTATAAAATATATCAGAGATTGAATAACTTCGAACCGTGCCCCATTTAACACTGCGGGTGACACCTGCGTGAGTCTGCTGACGTCAGAGGCAGAAGAAAGCACGTTTCCCCAATGAGGGTGTATCTGCCCTCGCCTGGTCTGTTACTTGAATATTTTTTTTTATGTTTTAACGCAATATGAATCGGTTTCAAGTGGCGAAAATAGGTCGAGAACCAATCTCGGAACGTTCTTGGACGCTGAAAATGTCTGACAAGTGACAAACTCTAGGTGCCTTTTCTTCCCTCGGAGAGCGCAAGCAAACCCCTGCGGCGTCAGCAACTGGTAAGCGTGCACAGTTCTTGTTTGCCTTTAGCAAGTGATTATTAAGGCTTGTAGCTTCGGAAAAAAAAATTGAACCAGTACTGTCCTTAAGTTGAAGAAGCACTTATTCATCTCTTTGGCTTGATGACGTCCTCCAACAAGGGTGAAGGAAAGGTGGCTTTCCCAAGGGGCACTTTGATGCTACTTTTGTTCTCTGCCTCCTTCTAGTGTTTAAAATCCGAACTGCATCTAATGTGCACTTTTTCTCAAATAATATACTATATATTCTGTATACATCAGAGGCAATTGCTCTAAGACTGCAAGGGAAGCTGAGCTTCCCCTAAAATGTCAAAAACATAAGTGATCAAATATATGTGTGTACATACAAATGTGTGTACATGTCATTGACTAAATATGCGCGACAACTCCCTCAACTTTTGTTCCGAATAAGCTTTTTATTACTAGTTACGATGCGACTCTCTTCTCATTCATTCCCGCAGCTTCACTGTGCTTTAAACTGTGTGGACGCTGAGCGTCTGCAGTACGGACGCTGGGCGTCGAGAGAGTTCATGCTAGGTTGTCCCAATGCATTGAAACGAGACGATTCATTGGATAAATGCTGGTTTTGTCCCGCCTACCGGACTCTCAGCGTCTCTGGGAGTCTATGGACAGTGGGCGTTTATGGGCTGGCCCAGAAGCTGAGCTTTTCTGCATGATGATTGGATGATATGTCTGAGGCCAAATCTCTTTTTGATTGACAGCGAAATGAGCCAATCACCGATCTTTTGGTGTAGGCATCCGTGGAAGCATTTTTCAATTCTCATTCTGTTCTGAGTTGAACTGGAGACTTCTTCTAATCATTTAAGCGACTCTCTTTGTTGAAAATGACTAGCGCCAAATGAATCTTTTATTTCTGGTGGTTTTTATTGTAGTTGCTTGTGTTCGCAGACTGACTTGTATCACCACAGGGTCACGGATCATTTTCTTGAAAAGGAACGGAGAGTAGAATTCACGCATAAATAAATAAATAAACGGACGTGAAATAATAAATACAACAGAACACATCACATAAAACATTGACAATAATACAATATGAACTATTCCAACATACTCCTTCACATAAATGATTCTATTCTGATGATGGAACAGTACTGTATTTGTATTTTGTTTACAATATCGATAGAAACCATTTTTAAATTATGAGTACTTAAAATAGTTCATTTCCGTGAATGAATTTATAAATTCTATTGTAAAAGTACATCTTGATCGTTTTTTTTTCTGGTTTGAGGTTCATTTAAAAAAAAAAAATGACAACAGTAGAGCAGTTTAATATTTTTATTTCTTTTCAACAAAATCCATGAGAGACTTGTATTAAAAATATCTTTAAGCGCACTGAGGAAAAAGTATTTTATTTTGAAAGTCAGGCAGTGTCACTGTTAAACAATAAGTTTATAGTTTTACAGTGTCTGGTTAGTAACAAAGCAACCTTAACCAAGAGTGTTCCAATGTTCACTTTAGCTTCACTCCACATACTGTGTGTGCGTGCATGCATGCATGCGTGAATGTTTTAAACTTAGATAAATAAAGCTGATTTGGCCCCGAAAGTGAACTAAAATGTGTGTGCGTGCGCTGTTAAGCCGAGGGAGCGTGTGGCGGCAAAAAGCGATGTCAAGAGGTTTCGCGGTTTTAACGAAGGCATGTTGCTGTCACCTTTAAAGACTTGTAGAGGGGTGACAATGTGGGAGGTTCAAAGGTCAAGGGATGGGGGGGTCACAAGGTCAATGCAAGGGTGTGTCTAGGTTGGTGGGCGTGTCCTGGTGCTGAGCCTCTGCGTCGTCGGGAACGTTCATCTGCTCGCTGGCATCGATCTCCGACGGGCTCATCTTGTTCTGAAACAGGAAGTCGAATTTTGATTTAGATCTTACACATCGTTAACGCTGGAGTTTTTTTTTTTTAATTGTTTTTTTTTTTTTATTATAATACCTTCCATGTTCCCACCTTCTCCTCAAATGACTTGAATGAGGGAGTGTTCCTGGGAAGAAAAAAAAAAAAGCCAATCAGGGATTGCATCTTAAATTTTGTAGAGCTTTGCTTAAAAAAAAACAAAAAAACGAGTTGGGAACTAGTAGGGAAAGTGACATTTTTGGTGGAAAAGAAAACTACATACAAATGAATTGGAGGAACAACAACAAAAACGGAACATTTTAGAATATTCAAGAAATAACGTTTTGTGCTGCTTTTCTATTCATATTATTGTTACATCAATTGACATATTTTGGGGTGAAAGAAGTTGAACTGAAAGTGAAATGCATCGCCAACAAATTTACAATTATTCTATTTAAAAATTAAAATAATGAAATAAATAAGACAATTTTAGCATTTTCTTTCTTTTGTGTGTGTGTGTGTGTCGCTGTTATTGCAGAAAATTTCCAAAACAAATCTTTTAAAAAATAAATAAAATGTTGATACTTCAAATATTGGCATATATGTATGTCAGTGTATAATTTTCGGTAGTGTAAATCAAATTTCTCGCAGCAATAATTTTTTTTTTGTACGATTTTCAACTAAAGTGCCTATGTTGAGATTCATTTTGTAAAAACCAAGCTCAATTTGACTTTTAAAAAATAGAACAGGTAAATGTTTGTACAATTTACAACAATTATTTGAAACTACGATTTTCTAAAAAATATATATTTTTGGAAAAAAATAATTGATGCTGAACCTGTTTTCGAATGTCACAATCAGGCAATATGAATCATACAATTTCTCCAAGGAACAAAAAAAAAAAACGAAACACTTTTGGGACATTTTTTGTACAATTTCCCATTAGATTGCATATATGATTTATTTTCCTGGTAAAATGGAAATGGAAAGCTTTTAAAAAAGGTAGCGTGCATGCATGACGAAACCAAATGTGCACTTCAACGGAACTTAGCTGACCAAATCAAAATCAAATGTGCGGCGGACACACGATGGTGTCCTTCTTACCTCATGACAGGCATACTAGCCGAGTGCTGCAAAGAGCGCTTGCTAGTCGGCAGCGTTAAAAAGAAGGGTGGGGGGCATTAGTGGTCATTTCACAACGCCAGTCGGCACACTTTTACTCCACGCGCAGACACGGCGACATCCTATTAAGACTGATTGTGAGTGAGCGTGTTGATCCTTGTGTATTTTTGCGGGGGGAGGGCATTCCAATTACCCCCCTTGCACATGTCATCACAAAAACACCCGCTGCCCCTTATGGAAGACCCCCTCCGCGCCCCCCCCCCAGTCAGCAGCTTGCATGTGGTTGCATTTCAGAGTAATCATCAGCTTTGAGGAGCCCGCTAATCTTGTTTGCGCTTTGCTAATCCACGGAAGAAGGATGACAGCGGAGAAGTTGGATTAGCTCGCTTGGGAGGCGGGGTTGGGGGGGTGTTGGTGATTGGGAGGGGGGTAGTACCCGAGTCTCGGCGTTGGCAGGTTCTTACTGTGGGATTAAGCCGGAAACAATTAGCGAGAGTCGTGGCGGTTTGGTTTTAAAATATATATATATATAAATAAATAACGACTCATGGAGGCCATGCCAGTAATGAAGATGCACGGCATCGATGAGTTGCCATCGGCTGAAGACGAATAAACACCTCCTAGCAATGGACGCCCCCCCCCCGCCCCTTTTAACATCAAGAAAACAAAAAATGTTGCCTCTGTAAGGATCAAATAAGACGCCCTCATTCACAGATGGAGGTTTAACAGTTAACTCTGTTGCCAACCAAACCGACGCACGGAATCATCTGGTCACTCGGTGAGACTTGGTCACTCGGTGGCCTGCCGTCGAGGTGGTCGAGTGAGTCCGTTTTTTTTGAATTGGTTGGTCGGCTAGTCTAGTAAGTCGGTCATTGAGTCTTTGGCAACGAATCACTTGATCAGTCGAGCCAGCTGAGTTCATTTCTGGCGTGGTTGAAAAAGAAAAAAAATCTGTCGAGTTAACCGGCAAGCTCAGTTAATCGGTTGGTCAGTTTCAGCAGTTTATTTGGTCCGGTGAGTTAGTTAGTCCATTTAGCTTTTTGGCTAGTTTGAAAGATGAGATTGCCTTCGTGTTCATCCATGTTTTTGTTCCGACCTGCCTTAATATTTCTATTTATTATTATTATTATTAAAAAAATTTAAACAACCTCTCTTTGTAGTGCTAACAAGACACCCCGAGATACTAGTTGAGTTATTAGTATGTACGAAATGTCCCCTTCCATGGGAGGAGCATGCTAAGTGCTCATCAATCACAAAAGAGCAGAGACGGGAAGCAACACGCCATCTCCCCCACGGTCGAAATTCCAGCTTGGTTAAAAAAAAAAAACGAGTGGAAATCAACCCCGTCGGTCGGCAGGAGGGCAAGTGCCCATCAATCACAAAAGAGCAGAGACGGGAAGCAACACGCCATCTCCCCCACGGTCGAAATTCCAGCTTGGTTAAAAAAAAAAAAAACAAGTGGAAATCAACCCCGTCGGCCGGCAGGAGGGCGTGACCGACGCGGCGTTTGCTCGTTAGCTCACCTGACGTCTTCCAGCTTGCGGCTGAGGGCCGAGCTCATGGGGGGGAA